ATGTTTCTCCTGCAAAGCGGCTGGTGAATTCAAAACACTAACATTCTGGTTAGCAGCCAAGCACTTAACTATTGAGCCATCAGTGTTCCTTAAGGGTCTTCAAAAGTGGAAAAGAGAGACAGAGGACAAGGTCAGAGTGATGTGATGTGAGAAGGATTCAACCTGCCATTGGTGGCTTTGAAGATGGAAGGAGGCCAGGAACCAAGGAATGTGTTCAGCTTCTAGAAGTTGGATCAAGCAAGGAAACATTCTCCCTTAGAGCCTCTAGAAAGGAATGCAGCCCCACAGACACTTTGATTAACCCCATGAGATATGCATCAGATTTATGGCATACAGAACTGTAAGATAATAAATATGTGTTGTTTTAAGCCCTAAGTTTGTGGTGATTTTTTAGAGCAGCACCAGAAAACTAATGCATGTAACAAATTGTTGTGAGGCATAAATGAAATAAAATCGATAAAGCCCTTAACACTGTACCTGGAGTAAACATGTAATAAATGTTAGCAACTGTTATGTTTGTTGTTATTGTTGTTGTTGTTGTTATGTGCCATCGAGTCAGACCCAACTCCTAGCGACCCCTCCTTGGGTTGCCGAGGCAGTATCATTACGGAAGTAGATTGCCCAACTTTCCTTCTGAGGAGTGGCTGGTGGATTTGAACCACTAGCCTTGTGGTTAGCAGTCAAGTCCCTTAGGCACTATGCTACCAGAGCTCCCATTATTGTTGTTAGGTACCATCAAGTTATTTTAGTTAGCATTATTGATTTAGTACATATTAAGCTATGTGTCAGGCATTATGCTAAGTGCTTGGGATTTGTACAAATCAAGGCATAGTCCTTGATTTCAAGGACTTGATTTCAAGTCTAATTGAGGAAACAGTCACAGAAAGAAATAATTCTAATATGAAGTGTTCAGTGTGGTGTCAGAGCTATGCACAGGACTTTACTCCAGCGTGGTGGAGAGATACTGAACCCAGCCTAGTGTAGAAGCAAGAAAGAAGAGGGTCAGGAATGTTAGTGGAGGAGAGCATTTCAAGAAAATATTGAATGAAGTCCTATATAATCAAGCCTAGTAATTAAGTTAGTCCTGAATCTTTTGTAAAAGTAGTTCAAGTATTGTGGTTCTCGTTCATAATTAATAAATTACATGCTTTGACTTCTACATCATTGAAGACAATGAGAGAACAGAAATGAAGGAACCAGATTAGAGTCCAGGCTTTCTCTCGTCCTCTGTTGTGAACCCTCTACATGCCAAGAGCTGATGAGCGGTTCTGTGAGCCACAAAAGGGCAGCCAAAGGGGAATGGAGGAATCAAAGGCCAATCTGAGCAATGATTCCCTAATCATCATGAACTGACCAATAAAAAAGACAGAAGATCAGCAGTGCATGCACCACCACACTAGGTCAAATCAGGATACTCATTATCAAAATTCTGTACGTGACTGTACTCACCCGTAAAATTCCAGAGTTGCACAATATCCTGTGAAAAAGAAGTAACATGGTGGTCTGACTGGTCACAAAGAGAAAGTGCTGATATTTTACAGTCTCTGGTTGTCACAAATTGAAGAGCATTTCTTGGTGGTTTATTTCTTAACAATTCTGTTGGCATATAGCAGAGGTTAAGAGCCAGTTTGAGAACAAAGAAGAAACTGGAGAGTAGAAGCACAAATAGCAGAGTAAGGAGGGACTGCATCCTGCCCGATAGATATGAGCTGGAACTATCTTCTCTATAGAGGCTACTTCCTTGACTTTAACCATTCTAGCCTCAGACTAGATGCAGATGAGATTCGCCTACTCCAGAAATCTTTACAGCAACAGGAAATCATGTAAAATAGTTAAAATGTGTACTATGTAACTCTGCCCAGGTTACACAGTTAACTTGGGAATGTAGTAATTATTTATAACAAACTACAGAGGTATACCTGGGGGGTCCTGAGATAAAAACCTTTGACAGGCCAGGAAGAGAGACTGGCCCTGTCCAGATTACTCTCTTCTCCTTCTTGCAATGCTTTAAGTTGTTGAGCCTCGTCTGGTGCCCCTCTTCCCCACCCAGTAACCCCAATACCCCTCACCTGACCTCCTTCCCTGCTTTTCTCATCTTAACCTTGTCTACGTAGTTAGGATGCATTTCTTGAATTCAGAAAATTCTCAATTAACAGTATCATATTTGATAGGTACCAACTTTGTAATCCTGTAAGGTTCATAGCCTTTTATGACTCTGCAAATGACTAGTTGCTGTCCCTTATTTAAGCACTCCTGAGGCTTGGAGCATACTCCCTACCTCCTGCCACAGAGAAGCTACACACCTTTTGATGGGAAGAGCATTACAAACAGGACAGAAACATAAATTCTTCCTTCATTACAGGAAAATGACCCTTCCTGCACTACACTAGAAAATGTCCACTCATGTGGGTCAGAGGTGATACTGTTTAATTAACCATTTCATTTACCTCCAGAATGAAGGTGCCTATGCATGTACACATTCTGGAGCCCTCAGCAACCATCTGAAAAATTTTTTGGTAGAACTTGCTGAAAGAAGTGACCTTAGGGATGGGTGCTGTGCTCGGATCACCACCACCATCCTTCCATCCCACAGGATTGTGTTTGAGCACTGAATAGAAAATGAGAAGGCAGTGGCAGCTGCTGGCTCATAGGATGGTTTTGTGCCAATTAGAGAGGAAAAAATGCCCCCTGTGGGAGAATAAACTGTTGAAATATGGCTCGCTGTGTGGATTATTGGGAAAAAAAAAAGAACCTTTCTGGGCCCTAAGTTTTCAAAGAAGCAGCATTTTGCAGGCATAGGGTTTGACCAATGGAGTCTTGACATGGTTTTAGCCCCATCTCAGTAGTCGTGAAGGATACAGTGTGGTTCAAGGCAGGTCTTGAAAGAGGCCTTGAGACATTCTGGGTGCTTGGTTTTCTATACCAGATATTTAGTCAAGATTACTGCCAGCTGGCAGGAGGCACTCTTCCACGATGTGAGTTAACATGAATCATTACAATTAATTTGGGTAACAAGCCTCTGAGGCTGAGATTTTTCCTAGTAGGAACCTGAGGCTCAGAGGTTAAGTATCTTACCCTAGGTCCTGTGGTAATAGCAGATTTTGATCTTCATGCTTCTGGATTCCCCAGCACTCGTTACTCTCCTTCCTTGATTCATTTTTCACCATAAAATTTTCTTCCAATACTGTGTGTTTCACTTTTCATTTGTATATTATCTCTCTCCCTCAAGCAGAATATAAATTCCACAATGATAAGGATTTGTGTGTGTTTTAGTCACTGCTGAATCCCCATGCCTAGATCACTAGGCTCACTCAGTAATATTTGTCAAATGAATGAATTGTTCAAATATCAGGATACTTTCTCCTACATCTATCTACTTCAGCAAACATCCTTTGGCAAATACTTACATAATACTTTGAGGTATTTTACAGAAAAAGTTTATCTTAGCAAAACATGTGTACTGTTATTGTCAAGATTTTCTTCAGCTAAAAAAAAAAAAAAGCTACTTTATACTTTTAAACAAATATTAGATGTCCAACGACAGGGTTTTAATTTTTTAAAAAAAGTCTTCCACTCTGAAATTCATGTTCACATCAAAGAGAGACATACCAGGTAACTAAATTAGGACACTTCCTATTTACTGAGTCTTGCCTTTGCTTTTGAAGGCAGATTTATTCATGGCCAATTTCTTCAATGATTAAGATGGAATTATCTAGAGAAATTGGAACTTTTATCCTTTGCTCTCATTGCCATCCAGTCAATTTTGACTCATAGCAACCTTCATTGGGTTTCCAAGGCTGTAAATCTTTACTGAAGCAGACTGCCCCATCTTTCTTCCATGGAGCAGCTGTTGGGTTTGAACCACCAAACTTTTGATTAGCAGCCACATACCTTAACCACTATACCACCAGAGCTCCTTTATCCATTGCTAGTGGAAATAAAAAAGTGGTACAAGCCACTGTGAAATACACTTTTGCTATTTCCCAAAAAGTTAAATATAGAATGACTGTATGACCCAAATATAAATATCCTAGGTATATACTCAAAAGAATTAAAAGCATGAACAAAAACAGAAATTTGTACACCAATGATCTTTGCAGTACTATTCACAAAAGCCAAAAGATGTAAGCAACCTTCATGTTCATCAACAGAGGAACAGATAAATAAAACAAGGGATATCCATACAATGGAATATTATTCAGCCATGAAGAGAAATGTCATGCATATGACAGCATGCATGAACCTTGAAAATATGCTGAGTGAAATAAATCAGTCATAAAAGGACAAATGATCTCACTTATATGAAATAGAAAAATATAGAGAGACCAATGTTTATTAGTGATTTCCAGGGCTAAGAGGGAGGAGGAAAAGGGAAATCTTTGCTTAGGGAGCACTGAGTTTCTCCAAATGGTGGTAGAACAATTTGGAAAAGAATGATGGTGATGATTGTATGGCATGATGAATATAAGCAATGTCATTGAATTGTATACATAAAAGTTGTTAAACTGGCAAATGGGTTTTTTTTTTTTTATTTTTTTTAATCACGATAAAGAAATTAATAAAAAAATGGAATCATCAATCTTTGTTATGCTCTGCTAGTTATTTGCAAGTAGCCATACCGAATAATCTGGCAACGTTTCTACGCAATTGTGCTTAGCGCTCACAGAATACATAAATCGTTCAAAATGAAGTTTTTATTTTTAATTACTTAAATTTTGCATACTAAATAACATCTTGCATAACTTAATAAGTTTGTGTTAGGTTTCTAGAAATAGTAACAAGCTACATGTTTTAATTCATTTTATGTAAATTTTATCCTGCTTTAGTAAAAGTTCACTGTGTGCAGGGCACTGTACTGTTGCATATTGTTGCAGGAATAAAGGAAGCTTTTAGAGATGGTCTCTGCCTTTCTGGAATTCACACACTGAATAGAAGAAGAAGCAGAGCTACGCACACTCTAGTGCCTCCAACAATAACTGTCGGCGTTTTACTTGTAATCGGAGCAGGCTGGCAGCAAATAACTATTTTTTCCCAGGTTTACGAGAACTGAAGTGAATTGGAAATTTTTATTTGCTTTAAGCAAACATTTCACTCTTGTGCAACATTAAATTGTGTCAACCAAGCAAATAAATGGAGAAATCCTTACTTACAAAATTGCCTGCTTCTGATTTCACTTCAGTGCTTTTAAAGTTCCAAGAGGGGGAGAAAATGAAGATTTTGTTGCTTGGTATTTTTCTGTTTTTGTACAGCACCTCAGCCTGGGCAAAAGATAGGCATTATTACATTGGAATTATTGAAACAACTTGGGACTATGCCGTTGACAATGGAGAAAAGAAACTTATTTCAGTTGACAAGTAAGTCACAATTTTTATTATGAAACAAATATATACGTTTTCAGTTTAAGAAATAAAGCCAAAAAGAAGAAATATTTCTTTGATTTGTTACATACGGAAAGTGTAAAATGTGGGCTTGAAACCCAAGACACTTTGATCAATCTCCTGTAAATCCTAAAATATTTTTCATTCAAGAGGCTGTTCTGATCCTTTCCCTTCCTGTGGGGAAATGTGTTGGCTTCATATTATCTCTCTTGGTTGTTATTGCATTTCCCACTGGGATTCAGTCTATTTGTCTATTTACGCAAAAGTTCATTAATTTAAATAATGGTTGTATTAAATGTTATGTTACACTACTCACCTGATTGTGGTAAACATAAAATACTTTTTAACCCTTCAAGATATTAATCATAGAAATTAAATACAGTTTTAATAAATAGGATTCTGCCTAACACTTGTTGAGTGACCAAGCAATTAATTGACTTAAACTTTTTCAGCCTCAGAGTCCTAATCTGTGAAGTGGGGATAAGAAGAATATCTCACAGGGCTGATTGGAAGTTGAGTGTCTATAAAGATTTTAGTGAAGTGCTTGGCAAATTGTACATGCTCAAAAAAATTAGCTACTTATTATTATGGCCAATCAAAGCTTTCTGTAACTTAAATATTTCCATATTTCAGTTGCAGAAAAACAAGAGTGTGGTTCCCCTTGAAGTTTTCTGTAGCAAAAGTTATCTATAATAATACTGAAGTCAGCACTTTTACTAATGTTTGAAACATTTACTACCAAACTGAGATGTTGTTGTTGTTATTTGCCATCGAGTCGGCCCCGACTCATAGAGATCCCTCCTTGGGTTTCCGAGGCAGTATCACTACGGAAGTAGGAATGTCCAACCTTCCTTCCGAGGAGTGGCTGGTGGGTTTGAACCGCCAGCCTTCTGGTTAGCAGTCAAGTGCCTTAGGCACTGTGCTACCAGAGCTCCTGAGATAGGCATTCAAAACCAATATTCACTGCGTTTAAAAAAATGTCTTTTAGTGGTGATAAAGCATAAATGAGCCCAATGACCATAAGCTGTTAAGATTGTACCTTTAAAATATAGCTAAACAAATATGTCCACTTTTATCATTGTTGAATCTGGTGATGAGTGCATACCATTCTCTTAACTTTTATATATGCTTGACATTTTTCATCAAAAAAGTAAATATGTAGCTTATAACAGTATCAGATTAAATTATTAATTTAGTAATATGCAATAAGGAAGTTTCTGACTTAAAGATTATTATAAATAAAACCAGTGCATCTTGCACTTCTTAGGTGTATGACATTTTCACAGCTTCACCAGAAGTGTTATTGTGTATGGATTCGGTGTTTTTGTTGATTATATGTTATGTAAATTATATGTTGTGTTTATTTCTAAGAGGGGGGAAAAAAATCAGACACAGAAAAAAAAAAAAAAGTGTGTTGTTTTGCTCCATGACTCCACCTACCACACCTCTACTACTGCCCATGATCAAAAAATCAAATCAGCTTTATTGGGCATAAACCATCTGCAAGACACTGGCCCAGGCATGCTTCAATAAAGAAGTTTCTAATTCTACAAGTTAGAGAATAAAGGAGTGAAGAAGTTTCTTTAGAAAAAAATTTGGTACAGTGGGGACATGTAAACATTCCTTTGTTTTTAAATACTCTTGTGGTCTGTTTATGCTAGGTAATTTATACAATGAGCATGAACTTCTTTACTCCATTCTGCTAAAGGTACTGGAAAGGGAAAGTGGGGCATCTTACAGTAAACAAGTTCAGCTCTCTTTCTGTCATTGGCCTAGTAATTTCCTGTTGCTGCAACAATAACCACTGTGGGCCTCATGCACATCCAGACTGGATGTGGTTAGTCTGCCTGTGGAGTTTTTTTTCCACACATTTGCACAGTGAATAGAGAGTACAACTTCAGTCATTTTTGCCAATACTGTGCTAAACTTTTTTGTGGATGAGGAGAGCTAGAAGTTTTCCTATTTGTCCCAGATTTGTAGAATGTCTAGCTCAGTCACCCAAACATGATTTGTATCATGGGGCGCCATTGAGACTTCTTTTTGTGCAACGGCTGAAAAGGAGTGAAGAAAAACAGACTGAGATATAAGGTGTTTGGGGAGTTCAAGACAAAGCTTAGGTAGAGAATTGATTTTATGTTGAATGTTGATCTTGAAAGTTTGAGGCAATGAAGAAGAAAATTAAGTACTGAAATGGCAGCAACTCCACTATCGTGTACTGCTTGGTCATCAGTCCTTAGAACTAGTGGTCAAATGCCTTATCCACTATGCCACCAGAGCTCCTTACCTAGAACATAAACCAAAATCAAACTAAACTCACTGCCATTGAGTCAATTCTGTAGTAGACACTAAATAAATATTTGAATAAATGAAAATTAATTTATAAAGGCCAGAAGAAATTATAGACTGTGTCATAAAAACTGTCCCTTATTCCTCATGTAGACATACATGCCATAGAATAAATCTGGAGACAGAATGAAATAAGAACAGTAAAACTGAAAGTATTGGTAGATGTCTTAAGAGGAAAATGTTGGGATTGGGGGAAAGAATAGGAAAATAGAGTTTACCTCTCTGGTATGAATGTCAGTGGGAACTCTGGAAGCATAGTGCCTAAGGCACTTGACTGCTAACCAGAAGGCTGGCAGTTCAAACCCACCAGCCACTCCTCAGAAGGAAGATGGGGCAATCTACTTCCATAGGGATACTGCCTCGGAAACCCAAGGAGGGGCCACTATGAGTTGGGTCCGACTCGACGGCACATAACAACAACAACATGAATGCCAGTAATACCCACTGCCTACTGTCTGAGTAGATTCAGACTCATAGTGACCCTATAGGACAGTGTAGAACTGCCCCATGTGGTTTCCAAGGCTGTAAATCTTTACACAGATTGCCTTATCTTTCTCACACAGAGCACCTGATAGTTTCCAACTAGCAATCTTTTGCTAAGCAGCCAAATGCCTTAACCACTATGCCACCAGAGCTCCTATCCCAGTAATATTTATTTCTAATGGGGTGAAGTGAGAAGGAATTTCCTTATACTCAGTACTGCCATTTACTTGGCTCAATGCTTTGTCTGTCACAGCAAAAAATCAATAAAGATTCAATAAAATATAGTTTTCATTCCTAAGTTATTTATGTTTAAATAAGAATAAAAGGCATTTATGTAATAAAAATTAGTAAACACTAATAGTGTGTACTTGTCCCATAGAAGCCAAGAATTAATTGGCTCTGTGTGGTTGCTGTTAGGTACAGTGGAGTAGGCTCAGACTCATAGCAACCCCATGAACAATATAACAAAACATTGCCCAGTCCTGCACCGTCCTCACAGCCCTTGCTATACTTGAGCCCATCATTGTTGCTGCTACATATTGGCTATATAAACCAAAAACTCACTGTCATCAAGTCAATTCCAACTCATAGCAACTCCCATTGAGTTTCCAAGGCTCTAAATCTTTATGGAAGTAAATTGTTCCATCTTCCTCTCGTAAAGCAGCTGGTGGATTTGAACCACTGACCTTCTGGTTAGCAGCCAAATGCCTTACTCACTGTGCCACCAGAGCTCATTTTTTGGCTATATAGTGGCAAGAAATTTTTTGGTGATGTCTAGGAAACAGATCTGAAGCTGGAAGTAAGTGAAAAAATTCTTCAAGCATAGGAGCAGCTATCACAAAACCTTTTCTACTGAACTTTATAAAAGGCTCTGGTGGTGTAGTATTTAAGGCATTGGATTGCTAACCAAAAGGTCTATCGTTCCAACCCACAAGCCAGTCCATGGGAGAAATATGAGGCAGCCTGCTTCCCCAAATATTTACAGCCTTAAAAACCCTATGGAGCAGTTCTACTGTATCCTATTGGGTTGCTATGAGTTGGAATCAACTCGATGGCTGTGAGTTTGGTTTGGTTTGGCATCATGCTTTATGACTTTTACTTAACAGACAGCTCTTGTTAACTTAGTTACCTGGTTTTCCAGCCCATTATAGGTTTGAAAAAGAAGTCAGAAATGGTATAGTGAAGATGTCATTAGAAGCATGCCAATGACTGATATGAAGTAACAGCTCAGATTCTGACTAAAGAATTAGACAATAAGAAAAAAAGAACATTCCATCCTATGTAACAATCTTAAGTGTTATACTTATTGTCTCAAGTGATCAGGATGCAATAAGTAGTAGATAAATACTCATTTTTACTATTATTATTATTAGGAAAAAAAAAACACAAAAACTTGTATTTTTTCCAGTGTCCCATTCAGAAAAAAAAGGAGAAGGAAGCAAATAAAACATTTTTAAAAGCATTTTAAAACAAACTAGCTGTCAGTGGGAAAAAAAAAAGAGAAAAACTTGCACTGAAAACATTCATTTTACCCCTTCAAAAATGGTTTCAAAAATGTTTTAACAATTTTTAAAAAGGTAAAGTTACTAGTTTCAATGGTCTGGAAAATTTACTTAACAAAATAAAATGACTCATTCTTCAAGATTGCCAAATAACAAAAGTAAATAATAGCTTTGCTGTTGTTGTTGGCTGCAATGGAGTCTATTCCAACTCATAGCAAGACACTGTGACAGAGCAGAACTGCCCCACAGCTGGCATGATGCAAATATTAGAACACAGCACAGCCTGGAAAACAAACTGAACTCACTGTTACCAAGTAATTCCCACTCATAGCAACCAAATAAGACAGAGTAAAACTGCCCCATGGGGTTTTTGGGAGCTCTGGTGGCGTAGTGCCTAAGGCATTTGACTGCTAACCAGAAGACTGGTGGTTCAAACTAACCAGCCACTCCTCGGAAGGAAGATTGGGCAATCTACTTCTGTAGAGATACCACCTCAGAAATGCAAGAAGTGTCACTATGACTCGGGATTGACTCCATGACAGTGAGTTTTGTTTTGTTTTTATGGAAGGAGACTGCCTCATCTTTCTCCTACAGAGAGACAGGTATGTTCCAACCATCGACCTTTTGGTTAGCAGCCAAATGCTT